CAGAGGTGATAATGTGGACAAACCCTAATTGTTGTAGCTGTAAATGAAGAGCGGTGTTGTGCAGCACTTAATTTTAGTCAATGACTCTGACCCCTCATCCTCAGGATTCCTTTTCATCCTGGAAAAATCTAAAAAACAACTCTAAAATTGATTTCTGTATTTTTATGTGTGGAAAAGCATTAAAATAAGAATATAAAGAACTGTCCTTGTGTCCTTCCACCATTCTGTGTTTAAATTATTCATTATTTTCTTCCTTTCTGCTAGTTCTCCACTTTTTACTCCCTTCCTGATGTCTATAACAGCATCTTCATGTTATCCATTTATGTGATTGTTCACTTCCCTCAGTCCTTCCTTGTTCACTACCCTCTGTCTTTCCTTGTTCCCTTCAATCTGTCCTTCCTTGTTTATTTCCCTCTGTCCTTTCCTCTTCTCTTTCTTTCTTTCTTTCTTGATTTTATCACATTTTTACTCTCCTTCCTTCCGACTCACCATTATTCTCTACTTCCTCCCTTCTTTCTGTGCTTTTTTTTTCTTTATGTCCTCCCTTGCTTTCCTCTTCATTTACTTATGCCTATCATGAGCACACTGTGTCCTTCCTCCCTTATTTCCTTTCTCTATATTTTAATCATCTGTCTGCTTTTCCATCCTCATGTATTTATTTTTCTTGCCATCTGTTTTTCTTTTTCCCATTTCCTCCCTTCATCATGTCAGTCCTTTGATACTTCCACCCTTGTACACTTATTCTTTTTTCCTTCCTTCTTGTCCATCCTTGCATCCTTTCTGTCTTACTTCCTCATGCTTCATTCAGGTTTTATGATTTTAAAACTCTTCTTTCAGCATGTGTTTTTCTTAAGGCTAATAAGAATTCCTTTAACCTCTTGACTGTGTTAGGCAGTGCTTTAATATTGCCTTTATGAAGAGAGATATGGAGAAAGGAACCCAGGGGAAAAGGTGAGGTGGGGGTTCATAGTGACACGGGTGCTCAGCTGAGGATAAAAAGGGGAAGCGGGCGAGTGCAAGTCTGGAAATTCAATTATAAGTGTGCCCTGGCCGTGATTCCAGTGGTATTAATGGGTACGCCAGAGCAGGAAAAGAGATAGAGATGGATGAGGAATGAGTAAAAAAAGAGGACGAACAGAGGGAAATGGAGAAATGCACTGAAGTGAAAATGGGTAGATGATGCAAGGTCAGTGCTGGTGTGTCAGTATATCTTAATCTTAACACAGTCTGAAATAAACAAGAAAATGAACAGATAGAACCAATTAATAGCTATATTAAAGCATATGTTCTTATTCCACTCATCAAATTACCTGATTTAAAACTAAATAAAATAAAATATGTGATTTAATTTGTTCTGCATGGGGATGCAGTTTGTAGTAATGCTGTCTTGCAGCAAGAAGGTTCACACACAGTCCAAAATCATGACTATTAGGTTAATTGGGATTATTAAATTGTCCTTAGGTGTGAGTGTGTGTGCATGGTTCTGTGCCTTTGTGTGTTTGTGTGCTGCCCTGTGACAGACTGGCGACCTGCCCAAGCTGTACCCTGCCTTTCGCCTATAGATGGTTGGAGATAGGCACCGGCCCAACCTCCACCCTGATGGAAAAAGCGGGAGAAGAGGATGGATAGAGGGATGGATTTTGTTTAATTTCCAAAATCTTGGTCAAAAAAGACCCCACACTCATGCAAATCTTCCTCTCCAGGAAGGGCTCGGTGAAAAAGGAAGGATAAGAGATTGAAAGAGGAAGCCAGAGTACCCGGGGAGAACCCAAACACGCACAGTAAAAAACATGCAAACGGCAATCAGATAGACCCTTTTCTTGCTGCGAGGCAGCGGTGCCACAAGCTGCGCCTTCATGCAGCCCATCCTCACAGTCTCTCCACTATGATCAAACAGTGAATATTTCCCTAGATACTTGTTAATTGGAGTAGCTGTAAGTGCAAAGCAGACTGATAGCATCTTGACATAAAGCAGCTACAGCAAGGACTTTTGTAGAACTCCTTAAATTCACTTATACGTCTGCAAAAATAACCACAAGATTTGAAACCTCTATTTCAAAATGAGATGTATGATGCAGCCACACTGTTTGTACTGTGAGCATGAGATGAAAAACTATTATAGTCACACTTACTTGACCCATTATCATGCTTTCATTGAATGATCAACACTTTGTTTTTTTGTGCATGCTTTCAATAAAAGCATGAACTACCATGCAAGTTTAAGTTGAGCTTCTGTGGAATAAACCATTTCATGTAAACAAAAAAATATAAAGTAATATTGGCATAGAATTCATTTCTGTTTGCAAACCAAATGTGAAAACTTGGAGCGTCTTTATGCCTCCTGTTTCCCAGATGTTGTTAAATTATTAGTTCAGTGTCATGTCAGAAAGTTTTCAAATGGTTAACATGAAAAAATAACAATGACTAAAATGAAAAAGGATGAAAAAAATACCAGTATTCCCAGAATAATATTCATTCTTCAGCTCTAACTTAAGTTTTTTATGAGTTGCATTTAGTTTTTCCACAACTTTTTTGGATTTAGCTTCATCTTTGTTTCATAAATAATGACATAAGGAAATCTGCAGTGAGTGGGTTTGCACACTTGAGGTTAGATTTAAATAATTTTGGAACAGGGATTAGCAGAGAGCAGATGGTGTATTTCTATTTACCATGACTGTACATAAAGTTTGTGTTTTGCTTGGAGGCATTATCATTCTGAAAACTTTTCCTTTTCAATTGTGTCTGAGTATTACTAAATACAGTAATATTAATTTTCAACTGAATAGTCGCTGATGAAAAGGGTGAAATCGGCACAGTGCCCTGAAATTTAAAAGCACTGTTTTGATTAGTCCAGTGAGATTCTGAATGTACAAAAAAAAATCACTTGAGACAAAAAAAAGAAAAAGAGATTAAAATAGTTATTTTCTACTTCTGATCAGCCCATTTATACACAAGGTTTACCAAAAACTTAATGATATTTAGCACAGTGTTTGTGTAAAACATAGCAGTAGCAAATGCAAGCCAAAAGTCTCACCTTTCCACACAGACGGACTCCTTTTTGTTTCTATTTAAGCAGTTCTGCTGAAATTTGATAATAAATTCTCAGAACATTATTCTTGGGACACCATCTGTCAGCAATTACAATCATTTTTCTTAAATCCTTCCATATGTGGTGATTTAAAGAGGTTAACGCATTGCCCTATAAATTTTGCTCACATGAGGAATAAAAGTAGGAATACTGGAAGAGAGCAGTTATTTTACTGAGTCAACAGGATGAGCTACAAATGTCAGCAAACTCTTTTTATTACGGACAGAGGTCACATAGAAATAAAAAAACTCAAAAACTAAACCTTTTCTTTCTTACCTGGAAAACTTTATGCTCACAAACAACTGTAAGGTTAGGTCAGTGGTCTGGCTGTTAACTTTGCTAAAACTGTACATCTAATCTTTGGTTTAAGTGTGTCAGCGTGGTTTTCTTATCTTAAAAACAAGAATTTTTTCAGTTTGTTACTTAAGGGTAGAAAAAAAACACATTTGAGAGATAGTTTTAGTGGAGTGGAAGACATCTTCCCTTCTCACTCATTTAATTTTACAAACCCGACTTTTTCTTGGGCTACAAATATTTAGGTAAAGGGAGAACGCACACTCTGCTTTTTTATTTTTATATCAAGTGATATGCCTTTTTTGACACTTTCTTGTTAGAAATACCCTTTTTGTCAAGAAAATCATCTGTTTTCTTGTGTAATCAATAGGCATCCATTCCCTTTGGATATCAGACACGCCAATCTGTTTTACAGAGCTGTGCTCTCAAAGGCTCCTTTTTCTCAAAACAATTTGTTCAGAAAATACCCATCTGCTTATAAGACCAAAGGCATTTTGTCATTGTTATTTATGTTTTACATTGCAGTGAAAAATCAACATTTGATCATCAATCAAATTCTTCTCCCTTCTGACTCTTGATTCTGCTTATAGTGGCGTTGGGCAGTACATGTTCTCTGTAGTAATACTAAATGTTAACGAGTCAAACTACAGCGCCTCTCCAATCAATCAGCTACATCACTTGATCGTCATTTTATTCTTGGCATTTAGCAGAGTTTGGCACCTACAGTATCACCTTGTCTGGTTGTGAACTAACATTTAATCGACCATAAAATACACAAAAATGGGAAACTCATTCATATCAATTAGCCTGTTTGTAGCATGAACTTTAAAGGTAAATAAACATGATGCTGTACATGATGCACAAGGGAGTTTGACTCTCACACGGTGACTCACATACACAGCAGCAAGCTAATGATGCAGAACTGCAGGACCGTGTCTAGACTAGTAGTTCTCACCTCCTCCTCTTCTTCTGTCTGGCTCAACGTTCTGGTGCCAACACCGGTGGCAACACGCAGGCTCAAGAAATAAGTGTTTAAGAAATTTTTGTTAAAGAGTCAATTAGATAATACGACTTTTCTTATTTGGTATATGTTGTCTGTCAAGCTCAGGTTTAACACTTCCTAGGCGAAGGGCTGACGTCTGTAAATGTTTGAATTTTCTTTGAGTTTCTGCAGGATAAATGACTGCAATATCACGCATATCACCTACTTTTATGAATCTAATATTGAATAGGCTACACATAAGTTGGAGTGTTGATTTATAATAAAACAAACTGATGAAAATAGCTGATAAGATTAAAGACAGCAGCTCTGAGTCCACAGAATTTGTTCCAGCCACAAACTCATTAAAGGCGTCATAAAGGGAACTAATGAAAACCATGACCGGTGTCATTACAAGTCCACAGGAGTCCTCTTGTCTTTCTCCTCTGTGAGCCAAAGAATAAAGGCAGCTAAATTAATGTTCGCTCCAATAATGTAACAAAACCCGCCACTGTCCTTTAAGTAGTGGCCATTCTCCTCTGTGTGTAATGCCGGCTAAATTAAAGTCCAGTCCAATACTGTTGCATAACCGTTTACACTCTGTCTTTGTTCCTCTGTGTGTGTTTCTGTTATTACTAGGACGACAACTCCATGTTCTTTCAGTTTGGCCCCTCCATCGAGCAGCAGGCGTCTGTCATACTAAATATCATGGAGGAGTATGACTGGTACATCTTCTCCATCGTCACAACGTACTACCCCGGTTATCAGGACTTTGTTACTAAGGTAAGGCCATGCAGCAGAAGGATCATGCATTTACACTGCACTGCAAAAGTATTGATACCCTTTGAAGTTTTTCACATTTTCTTACGTTACCACAATGTTTGAAGTAGTTTTATTTTCTTATACTTTGGACCAATACAAAGTAATGCATAACTTACATGGGGGGGGGGGGGAAATTTAAGCTGTAGTTAGTGTTGCACCGATACCGATACCAGTATCGGACAGGGCCCCGATACTGCCCTAAAATGGTGGCATCGGTATCGGCGAGTACCAACAAATAGGGCACCGATACCATTTTGAGAGCCATAAGTTTATTCAGCTATTGTCACCCACTCCTGGTAGGCAATAAAAAGTTCTACTGGATTCACTTTGTATTAGATTTTTTCCTGCTTCACAAAGGTAGGCAGCAGCTTGACAAAGCCATGATGGCAATTATTTTACATTATTATGTTATTGGTATCGGCCGATACTGCACAGCCAGGTATCGGGTATCGGTATCGGGGCCAAAAAATGTAGTTAATGAAATATAGCCAGTTTTTAGGGTATTTCTCTACCTTTTATTTTACATCTACATAGTTAATTAATTGCCCAATCAAATTAGATCCCACACATCCTCTTAAGTTATTATTAAACCCTTTTACAGATGAGTTAGCTACTTTACCTTTATGCCATTCTGAGGTAAACCTTTGAAAAGTCTTTAGTCTGCTTAAGGTTTCTCTGACAAACTTCCCTTTCCTTAGTAAAAACAGAAGATTTCCCCAGCATGATAAAACCAGCACTTTTGATAGGACAGCGTAATGTGTACCACAGGTGGACCACCATTAACAGTTCAGCTCACGGTAATTTTGAATCTTTGCCATTAAAGGCTCCACTTTCTGCCTAAAGGCTGGTTTATACTCAGAAACCAGGTGTTGCAGTGAAAGCAAATGTGCCCCCCCCTTCCACTGACACTCTGGTGCACCTCTCCAAAATTTTAGGTGACCGCAGACAGGAGGCATCTGATTGGTCAAATCTACATCCCAGCTACACTATACGTATTTCCTGTTTGGTAACTTTACCAGCTTAGACCAGCTAGAACAGCAAGGTGCGCAAAAACGCAGGGACCCTTTTTCCACCTGGATCCCCGCTCTTTTTCGCTCTCATGTCCCTCTGTTGTCACACAAACTTACCCCCACTTCTTCAATGCCTCGGCCAGATCTAGACCCACAGCTAGTTCCTGATTGTCCCTCTTGCGTTGTGGAGTGGAATTACATACAGCAGACCACACTTTAATATTAGGCATAAATCAGAAATATCTGAGACAAACTCGCTGCGACACACTGCTGCGGGGAGGATAACCAGCCCTTAAGGGTTGCCAATTTTTCCTTCCCTTTCTGCTACATGTAAAGTAGCAAAAATGTCATATTCATTTTCAATGAAAATGAAATTACCTATGATAAAGTGCTTAAATTTCACAGTCCTGTTCAGTTATATATATTTATGATTAATCCTGTGAAGTTCATAACATTCCTTTTTACTTTGGCTGACTTATAAGAAATATGGTGACTTATAATATGTTCATTATTATAACCCTAAGGCTCAGTTGTCTGGTACATATTACTGGATAAAACTAAGAGTGCATCATAGGAAAGCCCAAAAAACTATCTGATGCAGCATAAGTCCAAAACCGATGATTTTCCACCCAATTTACAATCACCTACTTCCTTGTGTTACTCATCTAAATAAAGTACAAAACAATTAATCTGTTTTTCTTTTCTCTTTTTGTGCATAAATGTGAAAAAAGGTCAAAGCGTTGTAATATTTTCAGAAGATATTTCTGTATTTTCTTTAAAAAGAAATCTTCAAAGCAGCTAGATGTTACCCTGGAGCCCTCCTCCTGACCTGGAGCTCAGCTAGTCTCCTGAGATTATCACCTGGAAGATTTCCCAACCACCATGTTGGCTATATTCATGTTTAATTAGCATCATTTCTCATTTTCTTAATCTGTCTAACACCACTTGTATAGCCGAGTGTTGGCCTGCAAAAAAACGACCTGCTTAAAAATAGGGCAGTACCAAAATTATATCTCAAACCACCCACATAAGAAACAAGAAGCAAAGCGCTTTTTCAGTAAGTCACCAACTGTCCCAGGACAGGATTTTTACTGTAAGTAATAGAGATTTTTTTTTTATTAAACTGAATTAAAGAGCAATATATAATTTTTGACATGCATTGCATTCAGGTGTTAGAGGAGACTGTTTTCGGAGTCAAACAGGTGCCAATAACAAGAAAAATGTATTAAACTTTTAGAAGTTTCCAGTTTCAGCCATAACAATTAGAAGCTCTACTTAATATTTAGCACATATATGCAGATTTGAAATATCTTCTAAACATTGAAAAGTAGAATGTATACGCCTGACTAAACTTTATAGTAAATCAGGAGGAAATGGTAAAAACAGTCAGAAGGTTTTCTACTACCATAGATGCGAGTAGCAGCCATTATTTATACCAAAGTGCGGTCATGTCGCCCTGACTTTCGACTCAGAATTACGACTCTCAGAAGAGTTTCAGTAGAAATTTCCTTCTTGCTGGTCAGACATTTAGACTTCAGAGGACAAACAGTTTACAAACAACAGGCAATTTTATTCTTTTTTGTGGGTGTCATAGTCAGTCATTAGTTCTTTTTTTCAACCACAAAGTCTTTAGAGCTGATACAAGTTCCAGTTTTTTTATAGTCTCATTCCTCTGTACCAGTTTTAAAGTATCACTGTTTTATTAACTTGTGTTAGCAAGTGTTTTCCCATAACCGTACTTGTATCTCCCTCAGATACGAAACACCATTGAGAACAGCTTTGTTGGCTGGGAGATGGAGGAAGTTCTTCTGCTGGACATGTCCGTGGATGATGGCGACTCAAAGATCCAGAACCAGCTGAAGAAACTCCAGAGCCCCGTGATTCTTCTCTATTGCACAAAAGAAGAGGCCAACACCATCTTCGAGGTGGCCCACTCTGTTGGGATCACTGGTTATGGCTACACTTGGATTGTCCCCTCGCTGGTAGCTGGAGACACTGTTGTAGTGCCTGCAGAGTTTCCTACAGGTAGGACAGAAAAAGTGGAAAATCTTGGGCTGTTTCTCAATATATGTACTTGTTCGTTCTTGTGTGCTTGTCAAATGTTACCAGCCTCAGCCTTAGCAATGTTCCAATTCACAAGAACACAAGATCGAGAACGGACAAAGTCCCCAATTGTTGTTCTCACCCTTCCATCTTTACTGAGCATGCATCAGAGCAGACTTGTCTGTTCTCCAGATTGACAGCTGTCCCAGCATGCACTGCTGCAGCAGCAGCTTCCAGTAGTGCACTCACAGAGCTCAGTGTTAAGTTAAAAGTTCTCTTTTCTGTTGTTTTACAAAAAAATACATTTTAAAATCATTTTAAGAACCGTGTGTAAAGTACTGCTGGCTCTGATGGGAATATTTTGTTTTATTGGACAAAGTGTTCATTCTATATGTGTTTCTGACTGTGTTAATAATTATTCCCTGACTAAATAAAAAAAGTAATGATATATTATTATCAATAACAGGAGGGAAAATGCTCTTCCAGATGAGCTGAGGGTGTGGTGATGTCACCAGTACGCTTCTGATCCAATTGACCCATGTTTATACTGCATGCTCCCGTTCTTCCCAAGTCTATGCTTTCCTTTGTTATGGGCAAGAACATGCTTGGTGAGAACAAGAGTTCGTACTCACGTTCTTGATTGAGAAACAGCCTTGATCTTTAATGTTAGCTGTCTTTCTGTTCAAAATCTTCCAAACCTGTTGAGTAAACCATTGCCCATTTTTAAGTCAGGGACCATTTGTTAAGAAAGAGTGGTTTATTCCATTTTACAAGACAGTTAAACTGAAATAAATACACCTAAGCACCATTTGTCATCCCACAGAAGCAAAGCATATAACATGTAACTTTAAGTGGTTTTAAATGTGGATGTTGGGAGTTTTTTTTCTGTGTAAAAAGAAAAGAAACAAAGCGACCTTTTTATAATGACAAGTTGGGAGCCTCTTTGTCTTTGTCTCCTCCCACATCACCACTGGATGTCACTCTAACCTTTGAAGGTCAACAGCAGTGACTTCTGAGTTGAGGCGTATTAAGCACTCAACCTGCACATGCAGTCTGTCAGGCGCACCTGTCAGGCTGCCAAATGTAACACAACTTGCAGCTCTTTTAGGTGGACAGAGTCTTTCAGGAAGGCCAGCTCCCAGTGGGAAGAGAAAACCTTTCATTGTTGGTGGTGTTGCTGCCATTCTTACCAAATGAACATTCTTTTCTTTCAGTCTGCTCCCCTCGCTGGGACACAGTCGGGCTGTGTAAGTACTCGGTATACCAGAGCCTGATCATTTGTTGGTGTTTGGCTTGTTGATTTACAGTGATAATTAAACCAATCCCTGTCCTCAGCAGTTTCAGGGGAATGGTTTTCCGTAACTCAAGCTTTTTACCTCTGCGCCCTTATTTGACATCTGTGGATGATTTACTCTAAATGGTAGCGCGTTAGAGCACCAGAGAAAAATAATGGATTAATGCAGCCGTGTGTTTATGCTGTAGTGTGTGAAACTGGATGTTTTCACGTTAGTCAAGGGAACCAAATCCGTTAGTGTTTGCTCCAAATCAAAATTCCACTTTGTAAAGTTTTAGCCATTACCGTATTGGTTATTTAAATCCCATAATGACTTTCCTCTTGATTTATGTGGCCAAAGAGATAATCGTGTTGTTTGTGTACTGCCTGACTGATTGCTAAGTGGAACTGTGGAGTGTCTGCATACAGTTTTTTTTTTTTTTTTTTTTTGGTGAGACTGAATTATCATGGCATAAATCAAATGGGACGTGATGACAAATACTAGGCGAAATGTCAACTTCTCGTTTTATGCATGATGAATAAGGCACCGAAAGCGCCAAAACACGTTAGTCAAAGCAAGCCTGCCTTTGAACAACAACACCGAATGGAAAAGAAAGTGTATAAATCATGGTAAATTGAATATGCTGAAACTTAAGACAGATTTTAGCAGGCCAAGCTGATCGCTGATCTTATGCTGCAGGTTAGGTGCAGTCCAAGGTGAAGGGGGCTAATATCTCTCAAACAGTTTCACATTTTACTATTGAAGGGCTACACAATTAATTATATTCTAATGGGTTGTTATGTGATAGACCAACACAAATTATGTGATTAATGTTTTTCAATTACTGAATTACATTTGTGTTCAGCTTTCCCAAGGTGATGCCTTGTAAAACTGCTGGCAATTACCCTTGCAGGTATGCCTGTAACTGCAAGACACATCTACACACTGAAGTTCTGCACTCTTCTTTACTGAAAAGGCTGACTGACCTTTTCAGTAAAGAAGAGTGCAGAACTTGGTTATGGAGGATCAGTGTCTGAGCAATTCAAATGCATATGTTTTGACCTAAAACACTTAATTGCAGCTCTGGCTTCATTCTAAGGGTAGTTGTAATGCTGCAAGATGAGTCTTTGCCTCTTATGTGGCCGGTAAAGACGGGCATACACTGTATGGTTTTTTGCCGTTTTCGGGCCGAATTTCCAGTCGTGCAAGAATTTTTTTTGATTGGGCCGAATTTCAGCCTCATGGTGCACAGAGCATGTGGGCGGAGCAGAGCCTCGATGGAGCGGTGGAGCGGAGTGGAAGAAATATGGTGGAGTGGAGAGTGGTTTTCAATTCAAAGGCCGGAGTGAGGATTTCGCTCCGCTCCAGTTTGCTCCCATGCGCTGACAAGGTCAACAAAAATGTTGGATTATAAAATTTTTAAAATAACATTTATTTGATGTAAAATAAATTAGTAATTAAATAGGAAACGTGGGGCAACATGAATGGATCGAGGTGTTACGTTCCCAACAGGGAAACAGTGCACCCATTTAACAGCCAGTTAAATAACACAATACACATGTATCTGTCACATCATTAAATCAAACGCCGTGTGTCCCGGGGCCCTGGCATAATTACATGAGGGAAAATTGTCAGAAAATGCCTTCTGAAATTTTGAGCGAGCTTGGAGCGATTTCGCCGGGAGTGACAGGAAAATTAAGGTGACAGGGGAGCGGATTTTGAGTGGAATTTTTGAGATTGGATCGAATGAGCGAACATCCTCCTGAGCGGGGAGCGGGATTTGCACGGCGCTCCACTCCGTTCACATGTTCTGATGGCCTGTCGTACGTTGTGTAATATACAGCGGGGTAACGAGGGCCGATAAGCCTCTCATGACCACCTACCGTTCAGGAATCCTAAGGCTGGGAGAAAATCAAACATGTTTGAAATTCAGTTGGCCGTCGGAAGATCGCATCAGAGCGTCACGCCGTACATTGTGAGAACATGCATTGTGAGCTGTGAACTTTTATACCCTGCAGTTTTGTTGTACGGTTTGAGCTGCAGCTTCTTGCAACGATTGAAAAAAACCGCACAGTGTTTGCCCGGCTTAACAGATTTTCTATCAGACTTAATCTGCGTGTTGTTCTACTCATTTAAGCGGCATGAAGCTGCCATGCCATAATCCGTTGTAGACATTGATAATATATTATTAAACTACGATTTCACCCAACTGGATCACCTTCCTCCTCTTCTTTGGTGTATCCACTACACCTTCACGGTGGATGTTGGGGTCCTCTTTTCAACAGTAGCTAAATATACCTAAGCTGACCTGAACTTAAAATCTCAGTTTATACTAAATAAAATGATCCGATCAATTATATATAGTTCAATGGTCAGTTATATGTAACTAATTATAGCTGCCTAATTTTCTGTAAGAATGTGGGTAAAACATCATGCTGTTGTAGATCTTAATAGGTGTGTACATGGATCCATATCAGAACGATAATCAACTAAAATCATCTCTCTCTTTCTAAATGAAATTTCCTTCCGATCTGTTAGAATAGGATTAAAATCCTCAGTCTGACATGTTTACGTAAAACATGGCCTTCAGTCTGATTATTTTCCCGAATAAACATAGCAAGTGTTGGGCAGTTTTCATGCTCATTATAACAAATAAATTAAATCAAATGGTTAAAACAGAGCTAATTTACAGGTACAGAGGAGGATGTTCTTCTTCCAGGTGGATCATCTAGATAAGTGGTCCTTCTAATCCTTCTGGTGATATGTTTACATAAGGCCGCCCTACGTGCTCTTCACTTACTGGTGCTAAAATCTGAATAGTGGAAAAATTGAAAAACTTGTTTTGGAAAGTAGCTTGTATGAGCGACTAAAATAGCAACTTTTAAACAGTGCGTGGACGAGGAGAGATGGGCTCGTGCATGCTCTCGCGTGTGCTTAATAGGTGTTCCCTCTCGGGAGCAGGTACAGGTGCATGTGCATTTTTTTTTAAGTAGAGAGGGCGGGTCTTTTAAAAAATTTGCCAAAATTCTCCACAATACCTTTAAAGTTATCTTAAAACTTAAGGCAATCTTAAAGTCCTTGTTAGAGCCATGGTGCTCAAACCTTGCTAATGTACTACTTGAGTAACACTTGGGTGGCTTCAGTGGTATTTAGAAGAGATGCATAAATTCCTTATTGTTCGTATAGTAGATCCAAACACATTAGACCTGATGGAATGCACAACATTAATCCAGGAGCAAATACAGAGCAAACTAGTCACTGTTAGCAATGCAAGTTGCTAACAGTACAAGTGATGCATTTTTTTTCTTTAGTATTTTTAAACATTTTGGCTACCAATTTACAAACTGTGAAAGATTGAATCAGAAACCCTTTATGAGATTTATCTGAAACCATTTATCAGCTGTGTTATAAAACGTCTACTTTTTATGTGAGGCGAACATATTGAAAGCTTTAGGTCTGGTTTGGTGAGAGGCCTTTGAACTTTTGTTAAATTTTCCAACTTGAATGTGGAAATTTAAGCTAAAACCTGAAAGATTAATACCAAATACACTTCATCCTTCAGTCAGTCATGCAACACTAACGAATAATAAATCTGTTTATGTGAAAAGTCTTTAAAAATTGCGACAGCTTTGTAGTTTGTTAGTTAATAGCTGTTATAAAACACTTTGAGATCAATGTTTAGGAGAATGAAAGACTTGCTGACATCTA